GAGGTTTGCAGGCCTTTGAATACATTCCCGATGTTCGTAGTGAGTTCACGGCGCTTCTGCTGCAAGTAGCTGTGCATTCGTCGCTTTTGCTGTTGCTCAAGCGCTTGTTGACGCATTCTTCTTAGATTTTGGCGGTGGGGGGCTCGCTTTCCGTCCCGTAAAGCCTCCTGCATGCGATGCTTAGTATCTTCTAAATGCTGGCGTAGTACTTCAGCATTGGTATCGTTCAACTCGTTAAGATATTCGATAGGAGATTCAGTCAACAACACGCTGTTGCGTCGAGTTCCAGCTGGAGCTGTACCGGGTCTTGCGTCGTTGCAGTATCCGTGTACTTTATCGATAATCTCGTTGATCTCCTGCAATTTATGCAACGGTCTCAGTTGCTTGTCTCCATCCACTGCCATCTCCTCAGGGACACTATGATTGAGTTCTCTATCCCGGCGATAACGATGGAATTCCTCCTTGTAAAACTCGTCAAGTGAACTTTTGCGCCGACCGGCACTGTTGCTAATTTTCCTTGGTACTGAATCGCTGGATAACGTCTCAAGTGCGCTTTCAGATGTGGAAATTTGCAATTGTTGCAGTGTATCTTTCTGATGCCGTAGACCAACGTGACCCTCACTCTTGCTGGGTTTTAGAACACGAACAGGGGCAGTTTGTGGTCGAATTGCTAGCACTGATGGTGGGAAATTTTGTTTTAAGAGTTCCGACACCTCAGACGGGTCTGTATCTGGGTCAGCACAGTCAGGTCGACGTTTACTGTGACGAGTTCGAACTCCTTCCATGTTGCTGTACATTTCTCGAGCTTTCCGTGTCAAAGTTGCACGAGTGGCAATGGCTTGTTGAGCTAGTTGGTACTCCTTTTGGACCTGTAGTCGAACCTCCCCGTCTCGATTAGGGGGAAGCAAAGGTGACGAAGACGCAGGACACGTGATCGACAGCTCATTCTCGAGATAAGTCTTGTCCATCTTGAGATCTCCGGATTCCAGGAACGCGGGCTGTTGGCTTTGTATGATCGACGCTTTCCGTCCAGACACTTCATCGTGAAGAACGGGGCCAATCTGACTTAAAGTTTGCAAACGCAGCGTTTGTCTTGGTGTGTTTTTTGCGTTCGATTTTGTCAACGCTCGTAAAGCTCCAGGCTTTGCCTGCAACTTGGCATTTTTTGTCGTATCAGTTATTGTGCTTTTCTCTTGAATTTCCTGCTCCATCAACTTGATTTCTGGGTTTTTGCTGATAATGTGTTCTAACAGCATGGTGTTAACGTTCCGAAGTTCGTTCACATTTCGACGGCCCACATGCTGAGCATATAGTGACTGGCGACGCAGTTCAATTTTTTCAGCCGGAGTTCTCTCCAGTTGCTGCAACAATTCTTGGACGAGTAAATCCCGCTCCTTCGTTCGAGTTGCATTATCTTTTCGGAACCGCCAAGGCCATTGTCCCTGGTTTTCCGGATCAAACAATTTGCCTAAACAGGCTCCTTCCCAGTCCCACACGAAAACCCTCATATCCATTCCACACGTCACCACAATATTTGGATGTCGACCGATCTCCAAGCTCGTGAGTGCATCGAGATGAGCTTGCCAACGTCGTACAAGCGTCACATCTCGTGGGAAATTTTCATAACAGGTATTACCAGGCCACGACTTAGTTGTGACTGGTATAGAAATTTGACTGAAACTGCGTGAAGTGCGATGTTTCGGTAAATTACTAGTTGATCCTTTGCGCAGTAAAAACTCCGCGGCAGCTACAGCATTTACTACTGCGGTTTCTT